AATGGATTAAATTATAGGATAATTTATTCAAATAGGGACACTATCCCAAAACCTTTTTCTCCTGAGATTGGTAAGGAAAACACAGATTTCCTAAAAGGAATGGATTAAATTATAGGATAATTTATTCAAATTGGGATGCTATCCCAAAACCTTTTTCTCCTGAGATTGGTAAAGAAAACCCTTCCAAAGCTGATGGAGCATGAGGATTACAGGCACTGATACCAATTTAGCTGCATTTCTGCTGGTTCATGTAACAGTTGCTGGGTGAGTTTGACATTTAAAAGTGGCAGGAGCCTCCTGAGTGCTGAGCACAGGAGTGGGAGGCAGAGGCTGTGTTCAGCASCAAGATTTTATCTTGGAGCCCTCCTGGCTTTGGGAATTCTCCATCCGAGGGCAGGGACACACCACGAGGAGTTTGTTCCCCCAAACAAACCCCAAGAGCTGCTCATGAGCCGTGGGTTCCCAGAGTTTGGGTGAATAATTCCCGTGTGACTGCTGTGCTTTGCTCATCAGCCTCAGCAATTAATGCACCAGGCTGATTGGGGTTCCAGCTCCCAATTAGCAAAGGTCACCTGAGAATTRAACTCCCTGAAGGAGATGGGGGATTTTTGTGCCCGAGACAGGAGGGAGGGTGGAAGATTTGGGATGAGGATTTCTGCTCTGAGGCATCCAAAGGGCGGTGGCTCCTGTGAGAGGATCTTGGGGAGATCAAATTCCAGAGAATTTGATAATTTCAGGCTTTTCCCCTGCTGATCCATGAGTTCAGATGGATGTGGAGGGTGTCAGGCATGTGGAATACGAACTCTGGTTCTTTTTCATCATTTTGGATGTGGGAATGGCTCTCCTACAGCAGAATAAACAGAAATATTCACAAGATCTGTGGGGGATGAGTGTCCCTGGAAGCCAGCACACTCTAAAGGGGATGTGAAAGGAGTGGGATGATGGGATTTATCCCCTCCCAGTGCCCAATGCTCACTGTCTGCCTCTGTTCCTGCCCAGGTCTCTACCTCAGGGTCCTTGGGGCCCCTCTCCGTCAATCCCGTGCACAGCACCATGCCTGGGACTGGTGAGCC